ACTCTCTAAGGGATGTTAGTCTAGATAAACAGTCCTTTTATGAGCACTGGTACTCTGTGTTCATTCAGTCATCTGCACAATGTTCCATGGAAAATATTGGAGAGGTAAATATTTTTGGATCTGTCTCAGGGAAATAGATACACAGAGAAGATCTTCAAATGCAGAAGAAGTCAGCGCTGTGTTTCTTCAGCAAGCATTTAGGAACTGGCCAAGATCCTTGTGAGCATCTCCATCCTTGCTGTGGCTGGACAGGTGGGATTCTGCAACTGTAGATTTCTTCTTAATGTTCTCTTCTCCCTACTGAAACTCACAATGGTTAGGATAGTTGCTCTTTTGTCTCTTGTTTACCTAATGGTGTCAGTGATTTCTTCATCCCAAGGAAATGTCTGTTTCACAGATTAGCACTTAGTTGAAAATGACATTTAATGTGACATCTCTGTATGGAATGGCCGATTTTTAGCTGATGGGTAGAGACTGACTGTTCCTCTGGAATACGATATACAAAATAAGTTGTGGACTGAACAAAAGCTTTCAAAGGCATGCTTCAAAGACTCGAGTTTTAAAAGATTCTGTCTGGGCAAAAGGTGTAACTGTGATGGTGTATTAACACATTTTAAGTGTGGCTGAAGGAAGCTTATGATGCCTCAATTATATCTCCAGTTTCTGCTTCATTATTAAAATAGTTAAGATAAAGAAAATTATGAATAAATTAAATGCTTCTGTACATGGGGAAAATCCCCATGTATATGTGTAAATTGAGTTCTCTATATACTTTGAAAGTCATTCCTCTGTGAGATGTGGTGTTGGAGAAGATCTTTCACATTCTGTAGGATGCTGTTTTGTCCTATTGACAGTGGCCCTTACCTTACAAAGCTTTTCAGTTTCATGATGCTCCATTTATTAATTGTTGACCTGAGAGCCTGCACTATTGGTGCTCTATTCAGGAAGTGGTCTCCTGGACCATTTCGTTCAAAGCTGTTCAATTTAAGTATAGCTGGGTTTATATTAAAGTCCTGGATCTACTTGGACTTGAGTTTTATACAGGGCTATAGATATGGATCTATTTGCAATCTTCTACATGCCAACATCCACTTATACCAGCACTATTTGTTGAAGACTCTTTCTATTTTTCATTGTATAATTTTGGCTTTGTGTTAAAATCAGGTGTCTATAGGTATATGGATTTATATATGGGTCCTCAATTCCATTGGTCAAACTTTCTTTTTTTATACCAATTCCATGTGTTTTTTTATTACTATTGCTCAGTGATACAGCTTGAAATCTGGGATGGTGATACATCTGGACATTCTTTTATTGTACATGATAATTTTAGCTATCCTGGATTTTTATGGTTTTCCGTATATAGTTGAGTATTGTTCTTTCGAGATATGTGATGGATTGTTTTGGGATTTTAATGGAGATTGCATTGAATTTGTATATTGCTTTTGGTTGGAGGGTCATTTTTACTATGTTAATCCTACCAATCCATGAGCACGTGAGATCTTTCCAACTTCTGATATCGTCACCAATATCTTTCTTCAAACACTTGAAGTACTACTCATACAGGTCTTTCACTTGCTTAGTTAAAGTTACACAAAAATATTTATATTCTTTGTTGCTATTGTGAAGGGTGTTGTTTCTTTGATTTCTTCCTTAACCCATTTACCATTTGTATGTAGGTTGGCTACTGATTTTTTCATTTAGTCTTATATACAGTCACTTTTCAGAAGATATTTATCTGCTTAAGGAGTTCCATTGTAGAACATTTGCAATTGTTTATGTATATAAGGATATATATGTATAAATTGATGTTCATATTTGTGATCAGTACCTGGATCCTTTTTAAATTATTCTCTATTCTGTCACTTTGATGATCTGTATAAAATTTACTCAAAAGCTGATGGGATTTTTGGCCACTTACTTTACTTACATGATTTTATGAATTACAAGTTTGTATTCTTATAATTTTTAAGATATAGCAATCT